ATGTTACATGGGATAAAATGCATTGTTTCTCTGTTCAATGCAGCTCCAGCCTTACCTGGTCTGGTATGACCAGTAGCTTCTGATGGCTAATGTTAGCGAATGACTTAAGACTTTAGGAAATGATGGGAAAATCTTAGTAAATATTACCTGAATGTAATAATACATATATGGTTGTCCTGTTATGACTATATAATGTTATAAAGAAATGCTGTGGAAATATTGAAGCCAGGTTTTCAGAGTCTTTAATTAAAGGAGCTCTCGGTCAATTTCAAATGGAGTTTTTATTCATATGCATGAAGATCAGTTTAGTTGTCATGATGAGTACTACTCATAAAAAATGCCATCTATGAGTCTAGAGAAGCTAGCTAAAGTCAGGACAATAGCCCATAATGATGTCATGGTGACTTCATCACAGTTATCTGGGCTCGGGCCACGTCCACATTACTCCGTTTCCATTTGAAGACACATATGTTTTGCTACGTTTACACTGAGCGTCCACACTACGCCGGCGTTTTCGAGCACCAAAAACAGAAGAGTTTGAAAACGCTCCCGAGGACGGATAAGTTTGAAAACTCCGGGTTGCGTATTCGTGTGGACGGTCGAAAACGGATAAGTTTGGAAACGATGACGCCCACACCCGCGTTCGCTACTTGATTGGTTCTTAGCAGTCATGACGTGTCCTTCCCTGATTCGTCACTCCCCTATCACCTGACCCTTACCCGGAAGCTCACAAACAACAACATTGATTACCGATCGACTACCAGCTTAATTTAACATGGAGAACTGATTACAGGTATTACTGACCTTGTTGTCTTTACTAGCAGCTGTTGTGCTGTTAAAGTCTGCATTATTACGGAGGAAGCAGCTGTTATTGGAGCGATCAGCGAGTGACGTGACCAGCGGCGTTATCAGACCTACGGAGCGGACGTCTGAAGTCACGGTTAGCGGCTTTAGGGAGGGTGATGGACACAAAACGGAGGACTTTCCTGTCCTTATTAATGCTTATTTTGTTCTGCACAACTATTTTGAAGTCCGCAGATGAACTATAAAGGAACAAAACAGTAATTGCTCTCCAGTATGACAGATAGTTAAGCCACCAGCAGAGCTACGAGTGAGAACAGACAACAACGAAACCGAGGGAACGAGTGAGACGTGTGTTGACCACATTTATGGACCCATAATCTAATAAACATTTATGTGTAAGTGTTGATTTTACAGTAAATGTGATGAGAGAGAGAGATAGAGCAAGACCTGCAGCGCTGTAACTAAGTCTGACAAATAAAACTTTCCACGAACTGTGTCTGTTTGAGTTCATAGAGGAAGATTTTAGAGAAGATCTTAAGTATCAAACACGACCTTTCATTATTAAAGTTTACTTTATTATTTTTTTTAACTAAGCAACCAATCTACTTCCTGTTTACATCGGCACCCACGTGCATGCCCAGTGTACGTGAAGAGTCACGTGATATTCCTTTTCAGGCGTTTTAGTCGAAACGATGCTGAAACGCCGTGTGGACGGAGATCGTTTTCATCTTAAAACGAAAACGGAGTAGTGTGGACATGGCTTGAGATTACACATTTTTAACAGACAGCCTGCATTGCAGAGGGTGGGCTTCTTGCAAGAAGAATGCATTCTCTATGCAGGTTGAATTATGGGAAGTATGAATTCGATTTCAGGGCGTCATTCAACTTCTAGCATTTTGAGCATTATTTTCATCAATTTGGCTCTCACAAGCCACACAACCTTTATGATAGTGAAGTAATAAATAAATAGAAAAAAATTAAAAACAGGATAAGCAGTTAAAGATATTAAATTAAATTAAATTAAGTTAAATTAAATTAAATTAAATTAAATTAAATTAAATTAAATTAATATTTTACATGCAATACAATGCAATATTTTACTATTTAATGGCACAGGAGACATGACAGATAACTGACACTGTCATATTTTCCTATCTGTGGTTGTCTACCTCTGGTGTTATGGGTAAAAACAAACGAGTTACAAATCAGGATTTACAGCAGTTTACTGTACACACAGTCTTCTGCCACATTGCAGAACTAGAAGAGGTCAAATTACAGCAGTGACATACAAGACATAGGGTGTGTTTGTATGTTGGTTATCATTCACCACAGAATACAGCCCAGCTATCTGCATGCGTGCAGCTCAGTGAAATGACAGCATCAACTTAAAGCATTGCTGTGACTGTAAGCATCTGCTTGTCTCAGCATCTGGGGACTTAAACTAATAGGTGCACGGCCTGCTTAATGAAGCGTTTTCATGTGCTATGCTTCACCTGAGCTGAAGGGAAGTCGGCAGCTGGAGAACAGTGATGTGCAAGAGGCCTTCAAACCACTTCCTGTGTGTTGGTTAGTCTGCAGGAAGTCACATGGTTATCGCATCCTGCAGAGAGTGACTCGGTGCTCTGATTAGGCTGCATGTGTGAAGAACACACAATCAGTGACAGACTTCTTCTCCATTCTTAGAAATAAAAGGTTTCAACGTTTAATGACAATGATTAACAAAAAAATTAAGGCAGTTGATAATGAAAATAATTAAGTGGGGTTGTGTGAGGTACTCATCCATTGTTAGTGTTTGAATACCAGACTATGCTCTCTTCAAAGCCAACAGACTACTTTGATGAAAGCAGAACATTTATATTGCAGGACACAGGAGTTGCTGGTCTACCGCTGCCTCCATCGGTTAAGTTTGTGTGTTTGTTTAAAGGGTTCGTTCAGACTCACCAAAGTCACAAAATAACACTAACTAACTAACCAATCGAGGCAGCGGTAGACTAGCAACTCCCATGTTCTGCGAGGTAAAATTACTATTTTTGTCAATGGAGTCTGGTCAGCAGTACATTGCGTAGTTTCTGTGCTGGTGCTCTGTTTCTTTAAACTGGGGGCGTGCCGACCATTATCTACTGCAGGTAATACACTGACTGTGGATAATACAACCCCAGATCAAAAAAATCGAACTGACTCTTTAAGTTGACGGCAACATTAGTTTGTATAGCAAAGACAACTTCATCAATTTGTGTCTCCTGTTCCTGAGGGGGAAGTCTGGGAGAGACTGAGCTGCTCTTGTCTTTGTCTCTCTCTCTGACTTGCTTTCTGTCTCTTTGGCAACTTGTCAGAGTGTGTGGTTCAAGGTTATGATGCAGTTACCGTCAACTGACCTTAGTGGGACTCCATGTCCACAATCCGGTCTGAGTCGCTCGTTATCTCCTGTTCACATAGCTTTGGTTGTCAGAGGCCGTGCTTATGAGAGAGCCGCTCTCTCAGATAACTGTGTGAGAAAAGAGGGAGACAAGTCTTTTACTGAGTGTAGGGAAAACCAAGCTCTTAAAGAAAGATGCAGCATCCCATGCTTTGGGATTGTTTTCAGCCAGAGAGTGATAAGCACTTCAGGTCAGAGGTCACAGTGCAGGAAGTGTTGGAATTATCTCACGGCCATTACAGTGCTGACAGCCAAGGACGGGCCACGCAGATGTTGGCCCTCAGGTGTCCCTCACATCCCACTGACACGTCATCTGGCCATCCAAATTGACACCGCAGCATCATGCCAAGGTTTTCTCTGGCCTTACTTGGCATAATTCAAGTGTTTCACATCTAAAAGTTTAACATTTTTCTGGTAATCGCTGTATTTTCCTCACTTAGGATACTCTGCTTGCTGCTGAAGGTTGAGTGAGGACTGTCATGAGGGGAATTATCTGACATAAAAGAGATGGAAATTGGAGTTTGGGAAATTGTTTAGCAACAGAAACTAAGATTAAGCAGTTTGGTTAAATCATTCTCATTGATATTAAATGTTCCTGGAAGCTGTAAAAGGATGTTCCCTGAACAAAAGTAGTTCGGCACTATGGCTGTGTGTTTGGATGTCTAGAAAACTTTTGACGGATTTTAATTTTGGCCTGAACTATGCCTTTAAATCACTACATGTTTCCAACACATTACTCAGTAACTCCTTAAGTTAAACACATTAGGGCTGGGTCTTTTGTTAAAGTCCTGGCTACAACACAAACAGAATATATTATATTTTAAATTTTACAGACTAACAGGCCATGTCAATAACAAATGCACTCAAACAAATCC